TGTGTGTGTGTGTGTGGGGGGGTTGTATGTATCCATGATCGTTCATGTTAATGAGAGTGTGGGGAGTGAGTGGTAGGGTGGGCTGCTTTTAACCATGTAAAGCACTTTGTGCTACATTTTTGTATGAAAAGTGCTTTATAAAGAAAGACTGATGTGGTGCAGAATGTGCTGTGAAAATCCCGCTCAAGCCTTTTGTATGGACGCAAACGCGCGTTGCAACTTCTTATCTGGTGCGCGTCTTTTATTTTGACAGCAAATGTGCACCTGCGGACCACTTATGTGCACCCCTGAATATGTCAGTATCAGTTTGAGTCTGTGGCGTGATGACATCATAAATGAGGCGTCCCTTATCGCTCTGGTTCAGTACGACTCTGAGTCACATGACTCCATGTGTGCAGGCGCTGCTTCCTGATCTACCGTTACCCGGGGAAACCAGCCACCATCATCTCGGAGGACGACTTTGTGGACAAGGTAAGGTCACGTGACCCTGAGGTCTGTGAGGTAATTGGCTGGTGCTGACTGTCAGTCTTTTGTGTTGCCGAGGTGACGCTGTGCTGCTCCATCAATGGTCACTATGACATTGTTTACCCAAGGAGTTACCCCGCCTCTGCCGCCCTCTGTCAGTGTGAGTGCTGCTATCTGATTGGCCGAACACAGAAAGTCTATAGTTCCTCTGCACTCAGTGTGTGTGTGTGTGTGTGTGTGTGTGTGTGTGTGTGTGTGTGTGTGTGTGTGTAGCTCTTCTGTATGAGCTGCTTTACACTCAGGTATTTGGCTTTGAGGAGGCGGAGCTCTGCCAGGCCATGGAGGCCTTCAGGGTCGGAGGTCGTCGCTATAGAAACAGTCCATCCATGTGCAGTGATGTTGACCTTGGATATGACACACCTGAGGACCGCGGGCACAGGTAAACACATACACACCTGAGGACGTTGCGGCAGAGCAGCTCTGACCTGGAATCATGGTAACCAGGGCAACGGTGACAGACGAAATCAGAAACTAATGAAGCAGCCATCGTCATGGAAACATCAGAACTGAGGGCCCATTTGTTTGTGCTCTGCAGTGAGGAGGCGGAGCCAGGCGGACCCATCGAGGAGAAACCACCAGCTGTGACGGATGACTCAAAGGTAGGAATGCTGATAGATGCCGATTCGATCGCCCGAGCATTCGTGGATAACAACACTAACAGCAACAAAAGTACCAAAAACTTAAAGAAAAATGAAACTTAAAAAACAACCACAGTGCCGAATCCTCCAGAACGTTCAGAGGAGCCACCAGGGTCTTTAGAAACACGCTCTACTTCCTGCTTCACGCCTGAGGCTCTGCAGTGACGACCTCTGTTCTGCAGCTTTTAATGTCTAGTTTCAGCCTGAGTTTGTTCAGAGTCGTAGGACGCCATCAGCAGGAGCTGGAACACGTGAACTCGTCATTGGTGAAGTAAGAAAGGTAAAAATGCAAAGAGCCAAATGATGCCAGAAGAATCCGTGACGTGCAAGTCAGTGGCATCCAATCATAACTGTTGAATTTCACTCATTAAACTGGAGCTCCGCCTTCTTGGATGATCTGTTGGTACGGTAACCTCACAGCAGCCATATTATTGGTCAGGTGAAGCTAGCAGACAGCAAACATGGAAGTTTATGGGACTGACTCACTGCTGCCTCTGCTGGACATCAGGAACTGCAGCTGATGTAATGTTTTTGTTGTTCAGCCTCCTGCAGAAGCTCCGCCCCCCTCCAGACTGTCTCTGCCCTACAAAGTGATGAAGTCTCTGGACGGGGACGTTTACAGAAACCTGGAGTTCGATGTGTGGCAGGACACCTGCAAAGGTAACGCAGGTTTAACTAATCCAGACCAGCGTCAGGATAAAGTAATGCTGGTGAACTGAAGCTGGACAACTGACAGCTGTGTAATCTGATTACTTCCTGTGACGGTCTAATCTGATCACTGTGACAGAGATGCAGAAGACGGACTACATGGTGTTTGCAGGGAGGCAGTACTTCCTGGGAGACAAGTGTCAGGTAAGAAGACTGTATTACTGAAAACTTTATAACGCGGATGTGAACAAGGTTCAGACACAGAGGTCAGAGTTCATTCACACCAAACCGCCTCAGGCTCTGACCTCACAGCCGGCAGGTTATCTAGATGCTACAGGATACAAAGGGAGAGTGCCCAGTGATGCTTAATAAGGCTGGCGCTGTTTATGACATGGTGAATTATTTTTTTTAAATTCTGATTTATATCGATGTGCAGAGACGGACGTCCTCGTCAAAGCTCTGTCAACATTTTACATGACGAGAAAAAAAGGAACCGCTCTCTGACCTTTGACCTCACCTGCAATAAAATAATCCACCAGTGCATCTAGGCTCAATCTCCTTTACAAACTCTTGACACTTCCTGTATTCCTTTCAAATTAAAAGCTGTCAGCATTTCACTACACAGGAGAACTTCACTTCTTAAAGAGGCTTTTATGCTGAAACATTTGGAGGAAGTAGTTTTGGAGAATGTAATTATCAAGCACGTAAACATCAAGGGGACTCTGGGTTTCATGACCTGAGGCGTCTCGGTATGCGTGTTGTGAGTTTTTGGTGAGGTCACTACAGCGAGGGGTCAGAGGTCAAACTTTAATCAGCTGTTCAGACACGGAAAGCACTGGAAAACCGTTACTGTCTGTGGTTACTGGCTGTAACTCTTATGAATGAAGCTCCAAAAACATTTGTGGTACTATAAGATAGATGGCATTTTATTTTTGGCTCCACCCCCTAGCCACCATGTTTGTGACATCAGGAATGAAACTTGTTTCAGGTGCGTCTGGAGCCGAAGGGCAAGTACTACAACGCCTTCATCCAGGAAGTGGGAACGCACTCATCCGCCGTCACGGTGTTCATCGAGGAACTGGGCGAGAAGTAACACACACACACACGGCAGGATCACGTCCATCAGTGCCGCTGTGACATCACTCACGTGTCTTTCCTCACAGACACCTGGTCCCTCTGACGGACCTCAAACCCGTGAATCCGGTTCCCGCCTGGAATGTGGCTGCGCCCTCCAGGAAAGGAGACCTCGGTGCTTCTTTTTTTTTTTCCCCATCCACTCCCTGTTTTGTTTTATCCTTTTCCTGTGTTACTCACCTGACTTCCTGTACGGTTTCTTCCCGTCTCTCTCTCAGACCCGGACTCTCGTGGTCAGCGGCATCACCGCCATCGCTACTTCAGGAAATCTCGTGGGATGAAGGGAACAGAGCTGCTAATCCCACCTCCTCCTTCCTATGGAGGCCCCGCCCCCTCGAGTCTGCCGCCTCGCTTCCAACCGGCGGGCCACCCCCGCCCACCCCCTCCTCCATCACCTGGAGCTATGACCTATGACCCCTATGCCCCCCCTCACCATCACCATCCCCCCCCAGCCCGAACACCACGCTACGGAGCCTCAAGGTGAGGCTTTACCTGAGATGCACCTGTGCAGTTTGACTCACAGACACAAATGTTTTAAATGCACTTTTCTAAAGGTGGGACCCGCCCCCTTAGTTACCTGATCGATGTCAGTGGCTCCGACCATCGGTAAACAAATATCATGTTAATGAGGTGTGTGTGTGTGTGTGTGTGTGTGTGTGTGTGTGTGTGTGTGTGT